GTTTCCAATGCATTCCTATGGGAAATGGTGTTTCACATAACGATGTTTCACATGTTTTTGTTTTTGTTTTTTGGAACCAATTAAAATCGTTATGCGAGGCACCACTGTACAGTTCACTCATATTTACAACTCTAAGAACAGATGGGACAAAATACATAAAAAATGGCAAGAGGAGAGGGGGAGGGATAAATTCGGGTAAACATGGAAGGTGACATCAGATTACCAAAATCCCTTTCATAAACAAAGAACCCAAACTCGTGATCTGTGTAGATAATGTGCCACTGCTATTAAGCAAACCCGCACAGGTATCTCATGATCAACTGATTTAATAAGCAACTTTATAAGCTTATTTAATCAACTGATTTAATAAGCATCTCAAGATACAAAATAAACTGACAAATCTCCAGAGAATTAAAACACTGGAGCTGATCACCAATGTGCACCAGCACAAGAAATATCTAGGTGTTTTGATTCCCAAGAACATATGACAAATAGTAGACCTAAACCACTTTACAATATTAAAAAAAATATCCCAGAAGCAGAACAGAAGAAATTGTTAACACTTTGTTTATTGGGGAAATAACCATTCTCAAACTACTATAAATGCATTATCTCATACTGTATACACACTATGAGCATACTGGGATATCTAGTACAGATCCTCAAGAATCTTTTCACCTAAATATATGCACTTTTCTCATGGTTTATATGGAGAACATGCCAAAAGCCTCACATTACATGCAGCAAACTAGAGCTATCTGAAAGGATGTAGGTCTCCTAATTTTATATTTATAATGACATATTTACAGCTATCAAGGCATGATACTGGTTGGGAGAAAAGCTAAGTCCACTAAATGGGCAGAAGGAAAAAACAAAATCATCAGATAGGTGGATGCCCTCAGTTCTGTCTCTGCCCTGTAGATGCCCCTGTTGTTATAGCTGTACAGTGTGGAGGCATCTGGGATCAGAACTGAGAGGTGACTCTTACACACACTAAGCCCTCACACTATGACAAATCCAAAGTTAAAACTGGAGGCAGACCAGTAATGTGGCATGAATGGGTTAATATGGGAATCCATTTATCAGCTACTTCAATTTGTTACAGTAATAATAAGAATTCTGAGGAGCAAGTTCTTGTATTTAAAAAAAACAGCTGGTTGAATTCATTCAGCACTTTTAATTTCAGGCACTGCTAATAGCCAATGTTGCCAAATTAAATGACCAAGTTACCGTACATCTTGGAGGAATGTTTGATCTACCACAGTACCATTCACATTTTCTATAAAAGCCTGAGTTCAGAAAAAATATCTCCTGGATCATTGCATGTCTTCTGACAGACACAAGAGGTAATCCACATCATCTTCCACTTAAAGCTTCTTTCTTTGGGGCAGTCAAACTGTACTGTAATCATTGTAGACTTATTAGGTATGCAACATCTCTTATCCAGGCAGATTCCACAAAAAGTAGGTTTGTATTGTTGTCTACTTGTGCATCCAGAAAATGCTAGTTTCTCTGCTTTAGCAAGCTGAAATGTAGGGCGACATGTTTTTCCTTTAGGGATCTTAAAATATAAAGGAGGAAATGTCCCAGTGTTATCTTTCAAATCACATTTATTGTATTGCACAAGTAAATAATAGTGGCATTCAGATCAAAATTTTAGTTACTCTCACAGCAACTAAAGATCTAAGACAATATGTCAACTTCATATTCTGTTGTGTCGTGCTGGCAGTTTAGCGGCTGGAGCAATCTGAAATGGGCTAAATAGGATGTGATCCTCGTACCCAAGTGGCATACGGACCTCAAGCAACCCTATTTGGTCAACATATCATTTTATTTTGGTTTGCTTCTCTAATACACATGTTTAAAAAATAATTTCATTGCCTTGGCTTCTCCACAGAGTTGAGAAAGTGTTTAATTTGCTAATATCCTGAAGTGGCAAATTAAAAGAGGAAAGTTCTTTTAATACATTGACTATAATTTGGGAAATGGCTCAAATCAGAATGATCCTACTTGCACCAAAAAAGTTGAAGCACTGAGAGAGGCCAGAAAGGTGCAGGTAGGACCACTCTAGGGCAGGCTGGCTTCCTCCAGCAAAGACATCTGATTGCCATCTTTAGGATTGAGCCAGCCCATTCCTGAAGTAGACAAAACAACAGATTAAACACCTCTGCAGTCAATCTGCTCATTTGAGGTTTTGCCAGTTCAGTATCCTGCTGCTTTCAAAACCCCTGCAACATGATCTGAGGGAAATAAATCAGTGATGTCTAATATTCATCCCAGTACATTTTGTATATCACCATATTTGAAAAAACACTTACTAAGCATATGGCTTTGGGAAAAATCTAGTCTGCTGGCAGCAGAAACTTACGGAAACTGACTCAAGGGCCTTCAGCTGCACTTCTGCAAAGAAGAATTAAAAATCCCTGCTTATCTAATTAGATACCATTTGTAGGAAGGAAAAAACCTTACAGGAAAAGAATTGCTTGTTTCTGACAGATTTGCTATCATTTCCATTTTTATGCCAGGACACAGGATAAATAATCCACTCAGGCTCCCGTTGTTGTACAGCAAGAATACATCTTGCATTCACACAATGCACACACATGTCTGCATGTACAGATATACTAATTCATTCAAAATAACAGTTTTTTAAAGGTGTAAATGGCTTGGCTCTAAGCTACCCAAAAGACTGCATCTCCCTTTATGAACCTGCTCGGGCTTAAAGATCACCTGGGGAGGCCTTTCTCTTGGTCCCACTACCCTTACAGGTGCACTTGGTGGGGACACAGGAGAGTCATCTCTGTTGCTGCTCCCCGACCTTGGAACTCCCTCCCACAGGAGGCCAGGCTGGTCCCATCTTCCTTCCGCAAGCAGGCAAAGACCTTTCTGTACAGGTAGGCTTTCTCTTAATAACTAGTGGCCTGAGAGGGATTTTTAAATGGATTGTTGTGCTCTGTTGTTTTAAATGTGTTTTAGTATTGATTTTCTTACCTTTTTAAATGTAATACTTGTTTTATTCTGTTTTCTCATATTTGTATACCTACTGGTTTTTAGCTTTTAAATATTGTCTTTTTAATTATGTAAGCCGCCTTGGGTTCTTTTTAAGGTGAAAGGCGGGATAGAAATAAAGAAATATTTTTCCCAAAGAAAAAAATATATATTTTCTTTTGTAATGTACCTTAAGTGTCCTTGGAAATTTTGCTTGACATGGTTGAATGTAACACAGTCTCTTTTCCTTCCTCATTTTGCATTTCGCATTTTCATTGGTTACTCTGTCAGATATACCTATGCCACAGCTTTGAGAACATGGTGTCCAGGGGGTAGCTTGGACCAAGCATTTCTTCTTCAAAACAAGTGGTAAACTTCTGAAAGCTAAACAGCAGAAATATATTTCGAATTATATCTTGCAGTAATGGAGCCCACTTCACCTCTTGACAGGTACTCAGAAATAAGCCAGCCAGAATAATAATTAAATATGTTAAAGATTCACATGACTCTTGGGCTGTTACATGAATTAAGTTGCACAAATTAGGTCAAAGTTTGCAGAACTGTCCAACAGATTTGTGCCACCTCCAGTTCTATTATATTTTATGAGGATTTGGCACCTCAGTCCCAAAGACTTATATTTTATAGTTTGTTTCTGCTGATTTTTTATTTTTGACTTGTGACTCATGTCTACTGTAAAAAGCAAATATTTCCCTGGATTTTTTTTTAAAAAGGGTAACATTTGACTACCTATGCAAAACTGGATTAAGAACATCTTGCCCTGAACCTACCCAAATGCATGTGTTGCATTTTGTTCTGCATGACTTGCTATTTTTTAAAAGAGGATTGAAGCTGAGAGGGTGCTTTTTTTGCCATGTTCCACTTTCCAAGATTCTGAGCACTAATAACCGTGTATATTAAACCTGCCTTTTAAATTTTTCATGTAGCAAAATCCTGATGGAGTTCTACAGAACGATTGACCAGATCTGAAGTCTGCACAGTTAAGAAGGCAGAGCAGAAATATATGAGGGTACCTGGGAAGTAAGCAGCAGCCTTAAAATCTCAATGCAGGAAGCAAATTTTAAAAACTGGCACAAATCTGAAATAAATAAAGCAAGGTTACAAAGCTGTGCATTTGTATGTAAATTCATATTTATTGTACATAAAAGGAATGGTATTACTGTAGAATTCATTAACTAAGTGCATGAGGAAAGCAGGAGAAATAGTATGTTAAAACAAAGTTTCACATTGGGCAAGTTATTAAAAAATTAACGATTAATTATAACTTTTCATGCAAACCATGCATTAATAGCATATAAATTATAAACTGCTTGGATTATCATGGAAGTTTCCAGTATTTTCGTAAATTGAAGTTTTTCCTGCAATTGTTTATTTAGTCTAAACTGTCTTTTGTCAACTTCTACTGTGTTGCTACCTAATACTCATTCAGAAAGCAACCAAACAGGAGTAGAAAAACTATCATCTGTAACAGTGAGTGGCTGCTTTATGCTGTGTATCTAAACTAGCTATTACTTCCTGAAAGCCTTTCTGTGTTACAAGTCATTCTGTTTAGGATCACATGTTTGATTGGTGTCTTTCTGCCAATATCCTTGAGGTAGCTGAGAAAACCAGAAAGCCTGCAAAAATTTAAATCTGAAACAGGGTTAGGGAATCCCATTCTCTTACAATCATGTGGAGGTGTTAGGAAAACCTGATAAACATCCCATCTTTCCCCCTCCATCATTGTGTTTATACACTATTTTCTAAGAATCAATATGCATAACTGTACAACTTGATAATATAGAAACATGCATTTGAACAAGGAGAACAAAATTTTACTTCACTAGGTAGGGGGCTGGCAGGCAGACACATCCATAATATCTCATTAAGCATAAAAACCTCCAGGACAAGAGAGGATAGTAAAATACAACAAACTTCTTTTCTTGGGAAAACAGGTAATAACAGAAGAGAAAATCCTCACTTTGGTTTGCAAACACAGGAAAGAAATTTCAGATGCTCTACATTTTCTCTATCATGTAAGATGGCGGTGCAATTTTTAGATTGGTTCTCTTTGTAATATATTTGAGAAAAAAATGCATCAGATTCTTTTATGCTTTATAGGTATGTTCTGGAGGTATAAACAGCTTTTATTTTATTTTATTTGAGAAACTAATAAAAGATATTTTATTTTAAACATAAAAGATATTTTATTTGATAAACAAAAATATCTTTTATGTGCTCTTATGCATCCTTGAGAAATACAGTTGTTTCCTTGATTTTCAAATTTGCCCTTATTTTTAAATCATGTTCCCAATAAGTACCAGAAATTTCTGCTACCTACTGATGGAAGGAATATACTAAGAACTCTCTCTTCTTTATGGGAGTGTTCTTTCTAAAGGAGGAGGAGGAAGTAGTGAAGTCACGACGAAGACATTACCAGTCTAGCTTTGCCCACCTGGCATTAATCGGTAACCGGTCGACTGTTGCTCCTTTGCTTTTCCTGAACCACATTTGAAGTGTGACTGTGCCAATTTCTTTCTACTCTTCTGAGTGGCACATTCATTAGGTGCTGACTTAGGGAGGAATGCAGGTGTACATCCAATTGCACCATTTACACACAGGCATTTATATAAAGGTGAGGGCTGGAAATCTTGGCCATTGCTATAATGTATACCATTGAGCTCACAGCCTACTGCAATCATATCTGGAAACAGAAAAAAAACCACAAGAGAGAATAAGTAAATTCACACATCTTTGTAAGAAGCTCAATCCTATCCAAAGGTAAATTAAGGTTGTTCACATATTTGCTAGTTATTGGTTAAAACAGCAGTACAATGTATTGGCTGCTTGGACAAATTTTAGTGGTGAATAGTAAGTTAAGAAATCTCCATAGGCATTATCTGTTGCATGCTAAGTCACATGGATCGGTTTGCAGCAGATAATACCTATGAAGACTTCAAATTACAGCAAAAAGTTACACGGTTTATGTAACATTCTGGCCAATGAGAGAGACGAGAGAGATGTGTATATCATAGTTAGCTATGTTATTAAATAATTGTGAAAATATCTAAGGCATGTTGCTGCCTGAAACAGTGCAGACATGGTACTCTATTTCAGTTAGTCTTTTTGGCACCTAAGCCAGAAAATGTAAGAAGGCCTTCTTCCCCTCCCAAGAGTAAAACTACAATCCTAATGAAGTAAATAACTAACCATTTGCTGCCCTTTCATGACAGAAAGTTTTATTCCTGCAGCATTCATCTCACTCTTCCTAATGAGATGACCGGTCCTGTTTTGTACCTATTCCTTCTATAGATCCAGTGGACTTGACTTCTATAGATCCAGTGGACTAATGATAGTAGTACCCTGATTGTTTCAGAAATTATTATTGAAAATGTCCTCATTTACTTCAGATAGACATCCAAGTGATTCCTTAGGATTCTTTTTGTTCCCATTTTATAGAAAATGCAAATCAAGGACAGACTTACATGCACACACTCCTCTTTCATATTGAGGTTTATCGGCTGAGTAGTCACAGTAGAGCCCCTTATGAGGGTCACAGACCTCCGCTTCATTACAGAGCTCCCCAGACTGCTTGGCACACATCTTGCAACATCCACAGCCATCCTTTACTAGGCTGACCCCAGGGCTGCAGTTTGGCATGCGGGGGCACCTGCAGGGCCAGTGACATAACTCTTTGCGCTGACGAACCTCGTGGCTTTCTGCAGCTTTTCCTCCAGCCTTTTCCCCTTGCTGGTGCTGCTTCTGGTCACCCTGCACCCTGCAAGAAAGCTTTCATAGGCAGACTTATCTGAGAGCTGGAAAATTCCAACAAAGATTGGAAATTGATTAAAAGTGGTATGGTAGTTTTTGGCATCCGCATATTGTTGAACGCCAACCCCCATCAGTCCAAGCTGTTGCAACTCGTGCTGAAGAACTGCGGGGTTGGTTTTTGTTTGTTTAGTCCAGTAACTTTTTTCTCTTTTTTTTTTTTTAAAGAAAATCTACTGTGGTTATTCAATACCTAGCATTAAAGGGCAAGCTTTTATGTCTTGCAAGATTCTTTATCACGCTGAGTATTCTTGTTTGCATTGATATTACTGAGATTTATTTCCCCTTTCCCAAGAAAATATGGCAGACCATGCCTGAGAACAACAGAAATTTCCTTTCCCAGCAGCTTATAAATTGAGAAGCAACCCATTTGGCCCCTCTGCTCCCACACCATCACTGCGATGAATTTTTTAAATGACAGCGTTGGAGCTCAAGCTCAGCTTGGAAATCAGCATGCTCTCTTCGGAATGATTCTTAACGTAAAAAGATTGGTTTTGTTATATCAATGTCACAGTGACTTTGATGGGTATGTTAAAGTCAATTCCTGTTTAAACAAACATAAGGTGAGTAGATCCTTGCCCACCTCCGAACTTCCCTTTCTTATCTTCCTCTCCCTGGAACAGATGTGGAGGGCTCCAAGGGAAAGGGAGCCTTTCTGGGAGGAAGGTTGCTGTTGATGGCAGACAGGGATTGCTAGATACAAGCCTAGGTCTTTGTGTCACTTTCCCATCATATCAAAGCCACTGAAGCAAATGCTATCCATATCTCTCCCCAGATGTTTGTCCCACTCAGTTTAGTTTAGTTGGGTTTAATTTTAGGTAAGGACATGAAAGACTGCCACTAAATGTGACAGCCACCCATTTTCCTCTCTTTAAAAACTGCTCCCATAACTCTTGGCCCAGATACAGTATTTTTCCTAAGATCATTTAGGACTGGCTGCTAAGGCAAGTGTACGATACATATATTAGCTCTTTCACCACCATTTCTTGGTGGATAACCTCATTGGCTACGATACTGCCACTGCACAAAGCTCTTTTACCACCATTTCTTGGTGGAAGACAACATCTTGAAAGTTAATTGTTACAAATAACTATTTATATGCAATGTACTTCTTTTTTTCAGCAATGAAATTATAAATACATTGTGTGATGATTCTTACTTAGTGATAATCATCATTTTGTGGTATACGTTTTACAATTACAAGGTGTGTTTGCATTAAATGGTGAAAGAAGAGTGTTAACATGTTCCCAATGCTCAGTAGGAAATGGTCCATGCTATTATCTCACCATTGTCTAGTGCTCTTTTGTGAGTGTTGAAGTCACAGCAAGATGAGAGATGTGTGGGGTTTGTTTGGTTTTTTTTTACAACATCATCAGTGTATCATTCAGGTGTTCTTTTGTAGCAACTAAAATGTAACTATTTTAGTTGTTTTTGAGAAACTGGAAGTCAATTTTTACTTTTTAAAAACTGAAACAGTATCTCATGCTTAGGGTCTTGCAGCTGAAACTATTATTTCAAGGTACCTCCCCAAGTTGTGGAAACATTGGAGCACAAATGTATTGTATTTATGAATACAATAGCACTCGATCCTCAGTGCTATTCCCACAACAGCCAATGGACCTGCTACATCTGTAGTTACTCCTCTGAGTCACGGCTGGACCAACCAAGAGACTTTGTCATGACAGAAAAGCAAGAAGGGGCTTAAGAGGGATTAGAATAGAGTAGGATATCTGCATCATAGGTCTCAGGCCACTGCCTCACTCTTTAGTTGTTCTGGCACTGCCTGCTGTTTTTCATACAACCAAAGAGAAAAATCAGTATAAATTGGACTTCAGGTGAGACATGTGCTTTTTAAAAATTATTTCCCTTGGCCTCTTCTCAAAGACTCTTAAGAGCCAAGTCAGACAGGCCGTTCCAGATACAGTCGTCCTTTCATTGGTACCACCTTAAACTATTCATGGAGCCCAAGACATTTTGCTTCCTGAGGCATGGAACAAGATGGCAACTACTCCATATGCAAATACTAACTGAACCGGCCATCAATTTGTTCCTCAATACTGGCAATAGAACAGCATCCTCTCCCCCTGCTTAAAGTCACCCACTGTCTGAAAACATCCAGAGCTCCTGCCTTCCGCACTCCTGTGCTGCCACTTCCTGACACCTGCTGCCTGGGGTGATTGTCTCACTCTCCTAATAGTATGCTAGATTGTGCACATTTAGCGATGGAGCTTCATTGACATGGCATAATCCCATGTGAGGCACTACGTTCCTTGTCATCCATTTCTGGCCGACATGAATATCAAGAGCTAGTAATTATTCTCTCCTATACACACCAGTGGAGTTCCTCAAAGAGCACTGGGACTTTCTAAAACAGAGAGCCTTTCCTTTCCTTGGGACACATGCCATGTCATCTTGTTATCTGGATAAAGATTTGCCCTCCTTCTGAGCTTAACCACAGCCATGTCTAATGTAGAGTGACACTGTTAACACTGCTTTCCGTTTAATCTGAAACAGAAGCTGGGCCCCTTCTCAATGTCTCTCCAAAGAAATGGCAAGGAGTGAGCAGGTCCCTCCTCCACCACAGACATTGATAGGTGCAGCATTATGTAGTAATGATGATGATGATGATGACAATGATGTGATATCTTTTATATTTCTTATCTTTCCTATGGATGGATGGAAGCAGCTACACTGCTGGTGACCACCATGGAGCTGCCCACCAGACCAGCTCTCATGCCTGGCTGACCTTTGAACCATGACAGGGGTGGCCACAGCTGTGGCAGGGGGCTTCCGTGACCCTTGAAGGCGCCGCCCCCAGTGGTGCTCCCACCACACTCCTACTGTGGTGCACATTGGGCACCATTTTAAACTGTAGTAAGGCTTGCATTATGTGAAGCTGTGCAAGTAGCTCCACATTCCACCCTATGGTTTTTTTCTGGTTGTGTAGTTGTAGTCTGGAGTTCAACTTCTTGCTCAGCCATGAAAATTCTTTCAGTGATGGTACTGATAAAACCACTCCTTACATAATTTCACACACCTCAAAAATCCTGTTAGGGTTGCCACAAATCAAAAGTAACTGGACAGCATGCAAGAGTAATAAGCTCTTGTATCCAGCTGCATACCACATGGAAGCCAAATATTTGAGAACTGGCACAGAGTTGGAAGGGACTCAGTATGAGAGCCTCAACACATGAAAAGGAAAATCTAGTCCTAGCAGGAGAGGATTTGTTTTAAAACAGCGCGTTCAGCTTCAGCAGCCTTGCAGTCCTATAAAACAAGTTGCAGGAGTTCTTCAGGAAAACTACTATATACAGCAGGAGATTAGTTTTTCCAGCTCTTGTCTTCTAAAGACAAACGTCTAATATCTCTACAAGCAGCAATGCTGGTGTTGTCCTTCTCAATAAGCCATCTATTAACCATGCTGGAAAAAAGGGACAGCAGTGCTAATAAAGAATACTTCTACTGTCCTCGCTTCATTTATTGCTCAGAACCAGTTCTCTTCCAGTCCTCAGGCAAGGAAAGACAGACACTGCAATTGGGGGGGGGGATACTTGGAATGAATCCAGACAAGTGTGAGTCAGAAATCATTGTGAAGCCTACCCTGCAGCAAAAGGCAGCAACGAAGTTGCTCTGTGCATTCACCATTGCAGCAGTACAGTCTGATCCAGTGGAGCTGCTAATAAAGGCCAAGGCGGTCTTGCCAGTTGGGTGGCAGAGGTTGTGAATGCTTCTTTGAAAGAAGATTGTTTTCCAGTTCAAAAGCAGTTATAAGACCTTCATTGAAGTGAACTCCACTAGATCCACCACCCTAGAAGACTGTTGGCTAATTTGTACTCTTCCTTTTTTATAGTCTTAGGACAAATGGCTCTATTACTGAAACTGATTATTTTGATCTTTTCCAATTTTCTATTCAGAAATCATCTGAGAATAGAAACAGGCTTGGTTGTCTTAGTAGATGACCAAATCCTCTCCATAAGTGTTCATTTTTCCTGTAAAAGAGTATTCCTAAGCATGTGTACTCACAGATGGCAGGTGGATTCAGTATGGAGGAGAGATCACTTTCTATGTTCTGCTGGATTCCCGTAATAGAAGACCATCAACAAATCTGGTCCCTGAAATAGTCTACACACCTTCCTGAAAATAAACTCTGTTGAACTCAGTGGGGCTTACTTTTGTTAAAAGAGGCATTATCTCACTCACTCACTCTTTAAATTTATACCTTAGCTTTTTGCCAATATCAAAATAGTCTGTCAGATAGACTTTGCCTTAAGTCTTATCTTTCCTATGGATGGATGGAACATCAACAGTGGAGACAATGGATGGCTTCAAAGTGCACTGGAGACTTTACTATTATTTATTACTACTGGTTACAGTAATAATAGCAGTAGTAGTGTATTTTATTCATGTTTGTACACACAAACACACACATATACACCAGAAACTTATATCTCACCTTTCCATCAATGAGTTCAAAATGGTATAGGTGGCTCTCCCCCTGGCTCCAATTTTTTTTCTCACAACAATACTGTGAAATAGCTTCACACACACACACACACACACACTCCAGAAACTAATAGTTATATTTATATCTCACCTTTCCATCAATGAGTTCAAAATGGTATAGGTGGCTCTCCCCCTGGCTCCAATTTTTTTTCTCACAACAATACTGTGAAATAGCTTGTGGTAAAAGAGAGTGATTAACCCAAGATTTATACCTTAAACCGATGGTCCCCCAACGTTGGGCCTCCAGATGTTCTTGGCTTCCAACTCCCAGAAGCCTTCACCACCACCTGTGCTGGCCAAGATTTCTGGGAGTTGAAGTCCAATAACATCAGAAGACCCAAGGTTGGGGACCACTGCCTTAAACCACTGGTTTCCAACTCAAGATTTATACCTTAAACCGATGGTCCCCAACCTTGGGTCCTTAGATATTCTTGGACTACATCTCCCGGATATCCTTATCATCACAGCTAATGGAGAAAGCTTTTAGGTGTTTTAGTCCAAGAACATCTGGGGACCCAAGGTCGAGAATCACTGCCTTAGAGTTCATGGCTCAGTGGGAATTATACCCTAAAATCTCTCAAATCCCATTCCAATAGTTAATGGTCAAACTAGTGACATGATTTCTGTTTCACTTTATTGCCATTAACTTAGTTTGGATATATCCAGGCGATTGTGACTAAAATCACATATATTAATCACTAATATAGTTACACAATAATATGCAACAGTGCACTCCAACTTGGTTATACGAAGGCTTGAAAAATATGATCTGAACTTGAAGCTCCTTGGACTAAAAATGAACGAAATCATGTTTTAAAACCTTCAACATGAAGCCAGATTGAAAATTTTGTTCTAAAGCTGATATCTGGAAATATATGAAAATTATTCCTTAGTGGCATATTTGGACATCCAATGAATAGTTCACTTTACTTTTCAAATTCCAGAGGCCCAACATTACATGACCTGAATATATTAAGCCTGCCTATTTACAGCCTAAATATTTTGTGGCTTTTTTCTTCCCTTGTTTGTTTTTACTCTGTCCACATCACACAGACCTAATACACATATTTTCTCCATGCAGTACACCCAACAGAATCGAAAATGAAGCACTGTGTATCAATATCTTAAGGGCAAGGTAATTCTAAGTGAAATATATATAAGAAGTAAAATGAAGTAATAAGGAATTAAGGAACAATTTTACTTAAATATGAAATCAATGACTGATGTAAATCAGTAGTAAATTAACGGCAGTTGATTGAGGCTTGTGTTTGAAAAATTGTATTTTAGTTCCTTCAGCATTTATGGATGGAGTGGAACACCTCCCATTCCCATGTAGATTTTGTTTTTATTGTTTATTCAAAATTTTGTAGATTTAGTTCAAAAACAAAGTGTTTTCCTAACAGTCACTACCTTTATACAGTATCTTAAGTAGACTATGCCACAAACAGGACCTGAGCAAAAGACAGATGTTTACTTGTGTTGGTGGGAAATAATCCATAAAGACATAAAGTTTGTAAAGCTTTCCAGAGACTACAATGTAAAAAGCACACCGGTCTCTAAGAATATTATAAAAGCCTCAAATCAAAAGAAATATGTCAAACTTGCAAGTGATGCAACAAGACTTTCATAAGTAGGAAAAACTTGATACTATGCACACACCGTACCCTTAAATAAACTTTACTGGCTGGTGGATCATAATGAAAAGTTCCAGCCTTTGTCCTGGAAAGGAAATATTTTTAGAAGAACTTACCTGTGGAGGAAGAGCAATTATTAGGATGGCAGGGATGAGGAGCCACTGCATGTTCCTCTGAAGGCAGAAATAGAACATGGAGAGTTGAGTGAACAACTTGGGCTGTGTCAGAGCCAACACTGTACACAAAGTCTCCTCTGTCTCCTCAGAAAACTTCCTCTTTTTAGCACACTAACATATTCACTTGTGGAATCCTTCTCAGAGAACCAGCTTCGTCCTGAGTCTCCAAGTAGCTCCCTCTTCTTCCTGAGGTTATCATTTGGGTTATGGTAGTGTGACTGGGTCTACATGTACTTTGGGGGAGATTGCATTTATTTTAAAGCCATCTTCTAAATGTCAAAACATTTCCAAGACCAAAGCATTAAAGCACCCTGGTTTTCAAATTTCTTAGAAGCTGAAAGATATGCTCATGGCTATTTCTGAAGTCTGGTTGTCCACACTTGAAATAAACAGGACCTGTTTGGAAGCAGTGTGGAAGTAACAACACTGGGATGTGGCAGCCAGCCATGGAGGAAGCAGAAGGGTGAAAAAGGAATTTACTACTGATTTAAAAAATGCCTTTATCCTAAAGCAGGATTAGCACACTAGGTGACATTTGGAGAGCTCTCATTCATAGGGTCCCCATAAGTTAGAGGTGACTTGATGGCATGGAGCAACAACAAATGTGGCCCTTCAGATGGTTTAACTTGCAACTGTCATAATCCTTCTTCATGAGCAATGCTTACTGGTATTAATTGGTAATGTAGGCCAGAAGAATCTGAAGTATTCAGAGTGCTCTGGAAAGCCAAAAGCAAATGTACAAGATCAAATACCCCTCCCCTTATTCCAACAATGGTTCACACTGAATTGAGAGCTCTTGCATTGCTGATCCGGAACCCTTCCTTCCATGATTCACTCCTTTCCATGCAGAAAGATGAACCAACTTCTTAGCTGCAAGCCTGGCACTTCCTTATCTCTGCCAGGCATGCTGCTGGCATTGGCAGACCATCTCTCTGGACTGTGGAAGTCATGAACAAGGTGGCCCATACCAGCGCTGAAGCTGCTAGGTTCGTTGATGGCATGGAAGCTTCAGATTCAGAGGTGTTGCGTCTGGCCAGGGTGTCTGCCCTTACTGGCTCCAGGGTATCTAGTTTAACCATCTCCAGAACATTCTTTGAACCCCAAGGCAGGATTCAAGCTATGTGGGTCCTCCTCTGGCTCCTCAACCTCTAAGGGTGCAACTACACTGAAAAGCCAAATCGGAGCAAATTTAATTTGTTGTGATTTGATTTGCAGCCTGTATTACATTTGAAATCACAGTCAGTACTCACACAGGGACTGTGGATTGATTCAGGTGTTCACCATTCATATTGGATGCAGTCCAATTTATATACCAGCCCATAGCCTCCTTTCCTTCCTTCCTTGCTTGCTTCCTTGCTTCCTTGCTTCCTTCCTCTGGTCCCACCTCTGCCAATATGATAATAATAATAATTTATAGTCATTGTAAGTATATACACAGTATACCCATAAAACGAAATTCACAGACACCCAGAGACCAGACACATGCACACACATAAAATTCCCCAAACACTCCCCACCCACTAAAAGTCCCTCACTAAAAATACATACATCTACACCACAGGCCAAGTAACACAGTCCAACTAATTATTCACTACTGGTGGGGAGTTAAATACAGGAAATAAATAAATCCAATAACCCAGCGATAAGATGACAGAGTGATCTAGCATTTATCTCATATGTGTAAGATAATTTTCGTTAAAATTTTAAAATTTGGAAAAATGATTGGAAGAGAAGAAAGAATGTGGGGCATCTTTTCCCAATCCTGAACATCATGACCACCTGCCTATGTCACCAAAATGCCACCTACAGACACATGCCTTGTCTTTACAAGAATGTATCACACCTAACCACATGGGGGGGGGGAAGCCCATTCAAATCCCAGCCCCACCTCCTCCAGCAAGCACCAACTCAGAGGCAGCAACCAGGCTTCCCTGCCCTGCCCCCCCCCCCAGGCACTGCCTCTCAGTAAGCATCTGCTGGACTAGGTGGGGCTGGGAGATGCTGAACATCTTTTCGGCTGAAAAATGAACTGCCACGAATTGCCACAGTGGCAGTGCCCATCTCTAGTCAAAAGTCCAGATTGCTGCTGGCTGTAAAGCATGTGACAGCCCTCTCCTGCTCTAAGGGACAAATCCCACAGGTCACACTAGGTGAATAAACCTAAATCCAGTCTTCCCCCGGGCCTGCTTTTTCTGAAGGACGGTCTAAAACCCATTCCACTGAGTTATTTGAAGAAGGTGGTAGTTACAGAACAACCTGGGATTAAGTTAGGTCTCTAAGAGACATGGGAGACAAGGGTTGTGTTCTCTGACCATGATGCTGGAGGTAGTGAACTTGGCACAAATATAAGAGTTGTTTCACTTCCTGTTCTGATAGCCACAGATCTGGCAGAACAAAGGTAATGCCTTAACTCAGAACAATGAAGTCAAATGTCCCTTCTCTTCTGGAACAAACCAAGCCATTTCAGTGCTATAAATGTGTGACCAACAAAGCAACTGTTGGTCCTGCTCACTCCTAGGACTGTAGCACAAGACCTAGGGGTGTGTTTGTAAAATGGCAAAGCCATCAGACCAAGGTGTCACTGCAGCAAAATGTTTGTCATCAAATGTAAGAAAAATAATTGGATTCGCCCTCCCCCACGTTCTTTCTCTTCTTGAATGCAACTCCCGGTGAGTCACTTCTGCTCTTTAAAAAAAATGGCTAAGAATTTATTCAAGCTAATCTCTCTCCCAAGAGCTCTAAACTAAATCCTAAAGTGCCCCACAGGCTTCTCTGCCTTCAAAGATTTCTAAATAGCAAAATTGTTGCATACCTCCCACAAAACATAAGATGCTGTGCTTATTAGTGGGAGCTGGCGTGACTGAATGGGAGACTCCCCTTTGTCAACTGAAAATCGTAGGTGTCTGTTTCTGGGAATAATGCCTGGACTTCAACTCTTTCTCTGGAATGGGGTGGGTGACTGTAGCCTTCTGAATGTTTCTTGGCCTTTAGCTCCCATTGATTCCAGCCTCCAATGGCCAATAGTGCAGGATTATGGGAACTGCAATTCAGCAATTCCCAAAAGGCCACATTTGCCCAACACAGTTTTTTATGATACTTTATCAGGAGTCCTGATTTTGTTTCTGTAAGAAAGCATTGAAAACCTGGTCAGGCTGATCTACAACATTTTGCTGCCTGAGGCAAAAGATAGGATGGCGGTCCCTACTCCACATACAGGTGATAAACAGATGGGTGGTTTAATCTTATTTTGACAGTAGCAATGGCATTGCATCTTCCTCGGTATAACAGATTAGCTTAAGTGGCAGCTTGCTTTCTGAACAGGAAGCTTGGGTGAAATTAAGCCTAGCTAGGCCACCAGGGTTTCAAAGTTCAAACAAGGCTTTTCTCTTGGGTGAGCCACTTGTAGGTGTCTGTCTGTCAAGTGGGACTCCCAAACAGAGCTACAGGACTTGTAATCCAAAAATTCCAAATGACACATCTCTCTTGCAAATTGGTCTGCTGACACTGAGGGCCATGAGGCACCTTCAGGCAGTCACCAAGGGCTACATATTCCAGGTGTCATGGAAAGTCTTATTATTATTGTTAGTTATTTAGTTTATCTTTTTTTAAATTTTTACTGCCTGGGAGAGGGAGACGTCTTTTTCTGTCTCATATGCCAAAAGAACTTAGATAGCTTTGGGAAATATGCACACTGACTTTGCTTGGTGTTTATTGGTCACATAGGAGGAAAGAACTTCTCATCTAACTAACTTGCTTGCTTCTCCTTTAATGACCACTTGGTATACCTTCCTTTTTTTCTTTAGCTAGAAAACCACTCCCATTGTTTTGCCTTGTTGCTGTCTGGCTGTTAAGATCATCAGGGGAGACCTTTCTCTTGGTTCCCACCATCTTCACAGGTGCGTTTGGTGGGTACACAAGAGAGAGCCTTCTCTCTTGGTGTTCCCAGATTTTGGAACTCTCTTTCACAAGAGGCCAGCTTGGCCCCATTTATGCTGTCTTTCCACAAACAGATGAAGACCTTTCTCTTCAGGCAAACTATCCCTGAGTGACTTGTGTGCCTGAGTGGGATTTTTAAATAGATTGTCATGCATTACTCTTTCGAATGCATTTTTGTATTGCTTTTGTTTACTGTCTTTTAACATGGTATTTGTTTGATCCTTTTTAAATATTTCTATACTTACGATTTTGGCTTTAAATATTGTTGTTTTTTTTAATTATGTAAGCTACCCTGGATCCTTCTTCACTGGCATTTGTTTGATCCTTTTTAAATATTTCTTTACTTACTATTTTGGATTTAAATATTGTTGTTGTTTTTTTATTATGTAAGCTGCCCTGGATCCTTCTTCATGAGAAAGACAGGATAAAAATATTTTAAATAAAATAGATAGAATATTTGTATTTGTGAAGGCTTTCAGATAGAATATTTAATTGTCTTTTGTCTCTGGGCTGTTTATCTGTCTCATAGATGGGATACCTAAGAGCACAGACACTTTCTAAGCATCTCCATGTAATGTCCATCATTTCCCCAGCCATGTGAGCAGAGAAAGATCTTTTAGTTTTTTTTCCTTCTTTAATTTTCTGAATTCATTCTACTAATCTCTCAATCTTTGTCAAGTCTAATTTTCTTTTCTTTTCCCTTAAATACGTATATGAGTGATTATTTTTGCAGACCAATGCAGTGGAAGATGGTTTGGGAACTTGCTATTTAATGCTAACTCCTAGGTTCCTGGCCTTCCATTGTGCAACAAAGGGGAATTAGAAGTATTTGTGCTATTACCATTGTTCCCATCTTCCACGCATTTGCTGTTCTGTCTCAGGCAACCTTGGGCTAGCTGTGTGAATGCCATAGGACTGTGGAGATTCTAGCCCCCAAAAATGTAATAAAAGAATATCTCTCCCCACTTGGAGAAGAAGAGTGTATACACACATACGTACAACTGTGCAGGCACACATACACATAAAATGTTACCACTTTTCAGGTTGTCACATCCTTTGTTTAAAGCAATATGCGGTCAAAGGTTTGAATAGTGTTGTTATATGAAGTATGGATTCTGTTAAAAATCTGTATAAAATAAAGCACAATTCTCCATTTGTTTCAGCTTTCTATAAATGCACATCCGTTACTACTATGATGGAAATGCTATTCATTTACACCCATGTGAATGAATGGATAATCAAGTTCCCTGTTTCCATGGAAATGCCAGCTGGAAGCCAAGTTTAAAAGCATCCCCTTAGTTTCAGCTGTTGAAACTGGGAAGTGGGGGAGGTCTTAAGCATTTGTATTGCATCTGGGATTGCCCCTTAAGGGCTGTCCTTTGCAAAATTTCCCAGATGTAAAAACTTATTGAAATTGTACAAGAAAAGCTTCCTACAGATACCCAAACAGCTATTACCCTGGTCAAACTGGCTTATGAAATTGAACCTTATCCTCACACAATGTGACAATAATAGTACGGAGCAATCTATGACTTGCTAGCTATGCCCTCATTAGCAAGAGGGACCCTTCATACATGGTTACCAAGAAAGGAAAAGACAGAGGCCAGAGATGCATTATGGAAGCTAAGGTTCTGAAACTCTGGATGCATCACCTGAGAGGACAGGATGGAGATACTTCTTTAAAAAATCTCCTCCATGGAAAAAATGTTCTCTGTGTAATACACGAAGGGCCAAACTACATGTTACATTAAATATTGTGTGTTTAAACAGCACACTCGCAGCGTTATTTATCTCTTTCTCAACAACAAAAAAGCAGCTTTAGGGGGAAACAAGACTCATCCAGGGCAAAAGAAGGGCGTTGTCATTTTCTTCTGTCACTTTGCCTCTCCAGAACTATGATTATCTACCTGAAGATATGCGGAATGACAGTTTTGCTCAGGGCTCTTCCTGATGTTCGTTTCAAAGGAAAACTTTGCATCATATAGCCCTGCCACCTGCAGCCTGGCAAGAGAGCAGGCCTTGCTTCTGCCACTTCATTCTTCAACATTGTTATGTGTATCAAAGAGGACACCGCACTGCATTTGTGAAGTAGTGGGGTCTTTTGCCTTGACTGAGATACTGGTACAGGCAGTATTAGTGGCCA